CTTGTATTTTATCGCTCTGCTGACCCTTGGGGTCCATTTTATTTTGGTATACCTTTTCTAGGTACGTTAGCCTGTGACCACGGAAATTGGCCGAGTCAAGTGATGGATTAGTACGGAGAGATTGAGACAGAAGGAGGTACTGGATAGAGAGACCGGGATGGTTTTTAATGTGAAGACAACAACAACAACAACAACAACAATTGTATCTTTTTGCCCAAAGTTAGCCCGCCACCACGGGAATCGACCGCGTCGAGTGTTGGACGAAGGTACTGGGCAGAGGGAGATCGGAACGGATTTTGATGTGAAGAAAACAACAACAACAATTGGGTCGTTGAATCGTTGGATCTATCCATACCAAGATCTACAGGCTTGCGTTGGCGACCACCATTTGTGGAAGTTCAAGTAACACGTGATTATGCATTCAACCATTGCAGATTAAAAAAAAATTGGGGAAATGTGGACACCCACACGTTTACCCCCCCCCCACGGTTCATCGTCCTGCGTGTTTGCTGCAACGCTGTTCTCGCCACCCCAGCTATTGCTCCCTCCTGATTACCGTGCGCTGCACCAGCTATATCCTTCTCACAATCATGTCCGGTCTGGAGCCTCTTATTCCGTTCGCTTGGGGCGCTCTGAGGTTGACCTCGAGCCTTCTCACGGCAGGCTTCAAGAAGCTTGTCGGCGTTGAGGACGAGAGCAATGGGCTCATAGAGTGGTCGGGGGATGTCGTCCTGAAGGCTCGGGACAAATCGCGCCTGACGAAACAACAGGGAAGGGCAGATGGATCCGCCGCGATGAGAGCTATTGAACAGCATGGCCATGAGGTGCGCGTTCCTGGTGTGACGGCTGGGTTGTGTAGACAGTAGTTGTCGGACGAATTACAGGATTACGGGGTTGTGCTTGTCGGACGATTACGCCGCAGACTGAAGCTGGTGTGGGCGGCATGCGTGAGCACTTGCGAAGTTGTGCGATATGCGATAAATTCGTCATCCAGGGAGAACTCTGGGAAATGCCCCCCTTGTTGAGCGTCATGAAGGTTTGTTGCGGCTCTGACTTGGGAGCTGAAATTCGCGTGGACAGATGAAGAGGCTGTCCAAAAGCCGTGATCTCTGCGATCTCCGCGACACCACAAGAAACTGGGCACCAGTAAATCGATTGTTGCTGCCGTGGTGCGGAATTTCAAAGTTGTCTGTAGAGGGGCGAGCAAGAGCCATGGAGGG